TAATGGCAGATTCTTCTTATACAGACACCATTTGATAGAAACACCGATGGAGTTATTCGCACACGGTGCAGTATTTTTGTGTGAGGTGGACTCTCCTTTTTGTTGTAGCCCTTTTTGATTTTTTGTAGTGCTTAAATTTAGGCAGCTCCGTGAATAGACGTGTGTGCGTTTTAAGTGTTTCGTTTGCTTTTGGTGCTGGTGTTTGCCTCCTTCTTTCATCAGATTAATGAGTATAACCCCATGGTTTTACTTCACGCATATTATTTACTTATATATATATATATATATGTGTGTGTGTGTGCGTGTGGGCTGCGTTGAATAAGTATGGCATGGGAACTGTCATAGCCGTTGATTCCATGCGTGTGCGCGTGTATGCCATTCTCTCTGACTCTCATCATCTCTCTTTTCCTTGGAGCCTTATTTCTTCCTTTAGACGTCTTTTCCTCCGCAAGATTGGCAAGAGCCCTTTTCCATTTATCATTTATTATCGTTACTATGATTATTTGAAGTTTCGCCTCGGGAGGCCGTTGAATAGCGCCGTCTGCGATGGTCCAAGGAGATATGCCGTGAGACAACTCTGGAAGTCGTCCTTGCGCGTGTGTCTGTGGTCACCGCAAAAGGCCTGCCGCACGCCACCGTGAGCCACCGTCGTGGTGGTGTCTGCATCTGAAGTCCATCAGTACATCGCCTACGCCGTCTCTGTCGATGGGCGATGCAGTTGTGTACGTGACATATTGACTTTTTTTTTAAAAAAAAAAGTCAATATATATATTTTTTCCTCTCCGAGGCCTGTGGGAGGAGACTTGGACCGGGTAGGATGCCGCCACGCAGGAGGACTGGCGCGTTATGAGCTCGCAAGCGAAGGCCCGATCATCACAGCCACATACGTGTTGAGCTTGTTTCTTTGCGCCTGCTGCTGCGGGGTAAGTCTTCCCTCCCGGCTGGGGGATGCCGGATGCAGTGCGCGCCAAAGTGGCAGCTCCCACTATTCCACTCTTCCACTCCCTCCTCCTCTAGCGGTCGCCACAGGCAGAGAGGACCAGGCCCGATCCTGGGCGCAGATCCCATTGTTGTTGTTGTTGTTTTTTTTTTCCTTCAGCTCTCTTTTTTTTGGCTGAAGGCTAGAACGGCGCTGGTGTCGCACGTGACGGACGCCGCAGACACCACCGCCACGCAAGGAGCAAAAGGCGGCGCTCCACAGACGTGCATCGCACATCGTCTACATCGCCGTATTTTTAATAGCTTGCTCCCGGCCGAGATGCCCACTGTGCAGTTCAGCGACGCCGTTGAAAAGGCCCTCGCGGAGGTGTGTCCCCCGCGCGACCCGTTTGACGAGCCAAACTTTGACCCCGTGGAGTACCTCAACAGCCGATTCCCGGAGGAGGCCAGCCTCGCCGCGCTACCTGCCTTTCTGGAAGAGATGACCGGCCGCCTGACAAAGACAGAGAACGATCTGTTGAAGGCCGTTGAGGCGCAGGCGACCAATGCTGCCGACGCAGACAGGGACCTTCATAACGCAAAGGCGGCCGTGGTCGCACTCTACGATCGCGTCTCTGAGATTAAGGCGAGAACGGCCAAGAGTGAAGACACTGTCCGCGAGCTGTGTCATCATATTCGAGAGTTGGACACGGCAAAAACCAACCTCACTGTAAGCATCAACACCCTACGTTCGATGCAGCTATGGATGCTGCAACTGCAGGCCCTCTCCACTTCGTTTGAGCGTCGCAGATTTATTCAGTGCCGTGATGCGCTGATGGAGGCGCAGAAGTATTCTGCCATGTTTGAAAGTATGAAGAACCTCCCCAAGGTGAAGGAAATTAACGATAAACAGGCGCAGCTATGTCGACAGCTGGAACACTACATTCGTCACACTGTGTTTGGCGACATTTCCCTGGATTCGCTAGATGAAACGCTGATGGCGGAGGCCTGTGCGGTGGTAGACCTTCTTGGGAAGGAAAGTATTCGGAAGATTCGTGACCAATTTATCGAGAAAATGCTGGAGGTCTACTCGCTGCGCTTTAAGCGTGGGTCAGAGGACGCAAAGTTGGAACGCACGGAGCGACGCTATGTCTATATTCGTAATCTTTTGGAGCAAAACGAGGGACTTTTCCTCAATGTGTTTCCACGTCACTGGTGTGTTCCGCAGGAACTTTGTGTGACATTTTGTCTCCGCACCAAAGCGGAGCTTGACTACCTCCTGCGCGGGGCCGCTGCTGACATTGACGTGGTGGTGCTGACGTACGTCCTGCAGAAGACCATTGACATTGAGCGCGACCTCACCCGCATGATGGCGTGGAAGGAGGAATTTCCGGGTCGCAGCGAGGTCCCGGATTACAGGTACAACGGCATGATCCTTTCCTCCTTTAAGGCGCACATGGACCTCTTCGTGCGGAATGAAGATAAGCTGATGGGAGACGCCCTTTCACACCCCCTTGTGGGGTCCTCCACGGAGGTGGAGCGAGGCACAGCCGGCAGCCCAAGTGCCGCGGTGGGTGCGGCCGTGCCTGGGTGGAACAGCGAGGCGGATATTCGGGTCGGCGCCACGCTTCCTGTGGCAGAAGATCTTTTTATTTTTATTAAGGAGAGTCTCAAGCGCACCATTCGCATCTCTCAGCAGGATGTATTGCTGGAGATGGCGGCTGTCTGGCGAAGGCACCTCATCCGCTTTGCAGAAACGGTGGCAACGCTACTTCCTAGCCCCGCCGCCTCAAGGGAAGACATGCGTCGCGCCTGCATCATCGTTAACACGGCGGAACTCTGCCAGTCTACAAGCCAGGACCTGGGGGACGAGGTGTGCACCCGTGGCGAGGCTCCCGCGAAGGAAGTCGGCTTTGACCAAGTCACCGAGGCCTTCTCTACCCTTTACAGCAGGGCGATTCAATGCATACTGCAGGGGACAGAGACAAATTTGGCACCCTTTCTTGTAGATTATAGCAATGCCGCATTTGTCAACCGTCGCGGCGAGGAACAAGACATTCATGATGAATCCGCTGTGATTCGCTCCATGAGTGCTGTGCTGCACGATATGGTCTTGGTGTGCTCGGCGGTGCTGCCGTCTTCAATTTTGCGCTTTCTGCTTGACAAGGTGGCACACAGCGTGATTCCCATGTTCACCGACACCTTGTATCGCATGCGTCGGCTGCCACCGGACTTCGCGCTGGGTCTGATGCGGGTTGACTCCGCGGCGTTTGAGCGAACCTTTTTGCAGCTGCCAAACTACAACGACCCAGACCGTTTTCCTCCAGCGCATCTGACTGGATACATGAAGCTCGTGCGACGGGAGTTTGACCGCTTGAATCGCACATTGAAGGTTCTGCAGCTAGACGCTTCGGTGGACACGTTTGTTGATGTCTACTACGAAGCGATGCTGCCTGACGATCGCTCGATTCAGAATTTTGTGCGTCTTGTGGAGTTGAAGGGGCGGAAGCGGGAGGACGTCAGGTCGTGGATCGCACATCTCTCCAAGAAGGGCGTGGTGGAGGCCACGAAGCGCGACCTGCAGCGCGAGGCCTCCCTGGGCATCGCCACGGGCACCACAGGCCAGTCCGCGGCAGCCGGCGCCGGCGCCGCCTCGGGGGGAATCAAGTTTTCGAACTTCTTCTTGCAACCGGCGGCAAACACGTACGAGCCGCCCTTGAGCGGCGGGTTTTCGAGTGCGTTCAGCAATTTGGTCGGCCGTGCGGGGAGCGGCGGCAACGCACAGACGACGACGACGACGACAACAGCAAGAACGACGGCATCACCACCATCAACGGGAGTGACTGCAGCAGCAACAGTGGAGGAGAGTTTCGGCACACGTTTTGCGAAGGCGGCTCGTAGCACGGTGACGACAATGAACTTCCTCTCCAATTTTAAGAAGGAAGGCGGTAATAGTAGCGGCGGCGGTTACAGGTCCGCGAAGTGAGAAGCAGCCCATATGGTGGGAAGCGGGAACGGGAGACAAGCCTCCTATGCCTCCAGACGTTTATGTGGGGGGTGGGGAAGAAAAACTGCGAAGTTTTCGTCTTCTATCCGTGTATTTGTGTGTGCGTGTGAGAAGGCGATGGATCGTGGCAAGTGCGTGGACCATGCTGAGTGGGAAAGATGTTCTGCCATTTTTTTTTCTTCCCCTTTGGCCCCTGGCTTTTTGTGGAATAAGACGTGTGCCTTGCAGGTGCGCTAGTGGACTCAACTGAATGCCCACTTTGCCTTGCTTACTTTTTTTTCTCACTTTCGGGTTTCCACCCTTCTCTTTTCGCCGTGGATGTGTGGCTCGCACGACTTCTCTTTGGTCTCTCGCAATCGAAGCCTCTTGCTGTTGTCTCCCCGCTGGGTGCTGGGAAGGCGGGGGCAACGAACACCCAAGGCGGCGCCGCACACACGAGAGACCACTTCATGATTGACACGCGGCAGGCTTAATGCTCACTGCTCTGCACATAACGTTGCCCCCGAAGCGAGTTCACCGCGAGAGTCAGCAGCACCTACCGAACCGCTGTCTCGTCGTGAACGAGTCCACGTGTGAGGCCTCCCTCATCTCCACGGAGGCCTCACTAAAGTACGCAACTGGCGCAGCGCATGAGTCGTGTGAGACGGGAACCCGTTTTCGCTTTGGCCACGTCACCATCAGTCCTCACCACGGCAGCATCTTCGTAACGCAGGTGGCCCCATTGCTGTATGATCTGTGCCGTAGTTTTTGGCTCTCAGCGTGCTGCAGCGATGCGGCATCGCAAAGCCAACCATCTGTGTCAAAAAGCGCCGTTGACGCGGATTCTGATGCACCCAATATTCCTCAAAGCGGCTGGGAGAACCTGTCTTGGGACGAGTGTCGGAAAGTTTATCAGAAGACGTGGTCGATGAGTCGATCAGTTTTTATTTACGGTAGTCACTCCGCCACGGAACGCCGTGCACTCTTCCTGCATCTTGCAAAAGCCACAGCCTTGGCGTTGCGGCAAGAAGCAGATGCCATGGGGGCCCAGCCGCCGGAAAGGAATGAGTGTGACGTTGCCTTCTCACTTGTGGATTTGTACCACGTGTGGGGGGTGGGAGACGTGCTGGACCCTAACGCCGTGATGCACGACGATCTTCGGCTGCAGCGGCTGAAGCGGGAAGAGCCACGACGCTCACTGAATGAGCCGAAGGGCATCGACTTTGTTGCGCCCACACGACAGGCGCTGGAGAGCCGAGACAGCGTATCCACGTGTATTATGCGTGCGCTGCAACGCAGCGCTCCACCACGGGCGCTGCGCACAAGCGCAGAGAAGGAAGAGCACGCCGTGAATTCGACGTTGGTGCTCACGTTCTTTGTTTCAAGGCGTTCGAAGCGGGGTCCAGGCGTGTCACGACGTGGGAGGATGCCTGCAGCGAGGGCCGAGGAGGAAAGGGGCCGGCAGAAAATTGGCTGCCCAACAGAGGCGAGGTTTCATCTCATACTTCTCCCCGACAGTACCGCTGCCGCACATGGGAAGCAGGGGGCACAGGAGCTGGGGGCGCTTGCCAGTGCACTCCAGGCCTGCACACAGTGGCAAAAGGAAATGCTTTCCGCTGAGGATGATTCCCGTACGCAGCGCGCGAATGGAGTGCCAGTGACAGCTCGAAATCTGGACGCATCATCCTCAGCAACGGCGTCGGCAACCAGCAAGCTGCCTTGGGTGCCGTTGCGAGAGTCCTCGCTGCTGCTTTACCTGTTTGAGTCCAACATGTACTACCGTCATCAGCTAGAGAAGAGTCTACGCAATTTGCGTCTCTCGAAGGAACGACGACGGCCGTTTGGAGATGGATCGAGGTCTGTGAGCGCAAACGTCTCCACCCAATCCCTGGATGTGGCTAGAAGCGTCTCATACAGCACAGCCGTCTCTACGGAGCAGAGTGGCTGTTGGATGTGTGCTGATGCAAACGGTGCCAACGTCCTTGACTGTATAGCTGCAGGAATTGGTCAATGTCTACTTGTCCTGTGTGTTAACTCTGGTTGGGATCAATACTATCAAGCTCGCACTGCGTTTCTGTTTGCGCAGCGCGCGACAAAACAGTTGGACCAGCCCTGCGTCTTCTTGGAACCCAAATCAGAGGAAGTGTCCCATACATTTTCTGCAGAGCAGGTGAGAGGCAATTCCCACAAGCCATCGCCTCTAGCCTCGACAGCGATGCAGTCTCCCTATCAGTGCGCCCGGGTACGGCATCTCCAGGGGCCGTTGCTCTCTCTGGAGGGGTCTGTGGCCGGGGTGGAGCGGCAACTCTGGTCTTCTCCACGGCGAAGAGAGGCAACACAGCCACGCCCCCCGGAGGCGGCCGGGCCCTCAGATAGTCCGTTGGCGCCTTCTGAGGTTGCTGTCGTTGAGGAGGAGGGCAGCGACCGTGATGCCGACCTCGATGCGCCTTCTCAGCGGACGGAGGCGCAGGTCGTGCGCCAGCGTGTAGGCTCAGGGGCGGCTGCGGGCACCAAAATAACCAGCCCCATTGCGCCGTCGCCGGAGGCACGTATACACTCTGGTCCCGTGCAGCAGCTTTTTCGCTGCGACCGCGTCGACCAACAAGCGGGGATAAGTAGTCTTGGGGAAGAGACTGCCGCTAACTCAGGGCAGCCACGTGGGAAGACTGGCGGCTCTCAAGGCTTTTTGCCTCGTCCTGGCCCGTGCGGCTCCACCGCGTCCGCAGAGGACGTGAGTTTGTGTCCTCCTCCGGCAGAGAGGGGGGCGATGGTCAACGACGTGCTGCTGAAACAAAGTCTTCTTCTGCAGGAGAACGCGGAGCTACGTGCGCTTCTGGCGAGACTCTCCTCTCAGCAGGCTGACACTTATAGAGGGCAAAGGGAGTCAACCAGGATAGCGGACGTCTGTGATGCCGCGCTGCTGGAGTCACGGAGAACTGCCCGATCATCGGAGCTGGACGCGTTACGAAAGGAACTCTCAACGACGACAAAAAAGGCTCGTGTCCTGCAAAAGACACTTTCACGCTCAGTGGACGATAATCGCAAGCTGTGTCGTGTCATGCATGCTCAGATGAAGCAGTGCCTTCTTGACCTCTCCCGCATCTTTCAAGGCTCTCTGGGGGAGAGAGACTTAAATTTTCCTGCGATTGCGGAGGAACGAATTCGTCGCTGGGAGAAGCTGCTTGAGAAAACAACAAGGCAAGTGCTGCGGCCTTTCTCTGGGGCGAGCCGTGCCGAAGAGGAGGCGGAGACGCCGGAGGAGGAGGAAGAAGAAGAGGCAACATGCGCGGACAGTGGCGATGGGGTTTGCCCTCAAAGGTGCCAGCCGAAACGCGTAACGAAGACGTCGCATGCAAACAGTGCATGTGCGCTTTTGTCGGAGGGGCGGCCGTCGGGCTCCTGCTGTAACGGAAGACACCATCAAAAACGGCGGGAAGCCGATGTCTTACCCGGCGCGAAAGCCGAGGGGCGGGACCGTCAAGCACCCAAGCGCTACATGAAGGAGGAAGTTAAATCACCTCTGGGAAGCAGCATAACTCCACAACTGGCACAGCTGCTTCAGCTTGCCTACCGTCTTTTTCTCTGCGACTCCTCCTCTACCAATGAGGATGATGAGAATGGTGGTCACAATGCCTTTGGGGGTTCTCTGCAGGAGGGTCCTGACGGAGCTAAAGTGGAGGCTTTTAGAACAACGCATCAGAGTTTGTCAAGAAGCGTATTAGATATTCTCTCGCCGCACCAGCAGGAGGCCCGCGCAGGGGCTGCGAGAGCTGAAATTGAAGGACGTCCGGTTACCGGACGGAGGCCCGAGGCGGAGCTCTGTTGGAGGTGTCAATTGTCTCGGCGCCCACGCTGCAACGCGGCGTATACGAAGTTTCTGGAGATTCTGCGCTCCTTGTGCAGACAACAGGTGACGATAACCGGAGAAGCCCCCGGCTCGCATCCTCAAGTCATGAAGGAGACGGAAGAAGAAGAGCTAAAGGGTATGAAAGGGGCATCATTCTCAGGGCATGCAGTTCCCCCCTCCGGGCCTTGTTGTCCCCATGAAGGGTGGGAGGACGTCTCAGCAGCAGGACTGCTACGCAATGAAGGGGCTTTGTTGCTGAAGACGCGTCAGCTCTCTGATTCCCTGCAGAAGAACACGGACACCCGAGCAAAGGAGCAAGCAGCTGTTCGATCGCTGCAGAGTGAGCTCGAGAAGGAACGAGAGTGGCGACGGCAGCTTCAGGATGAGCTCCTCAATCTTCGCCTCCGCCTCAGCAAGTATGAATCGAAGTTTGCCTTCATTGGCGAGACCGTGAAACCAAAAATTTCACAGGACATTGCTCAGCTAGAGCAGAAAATCTCGGAGCGAAAAAAGCAAGAGGATTTGGAGCGACAACGACGAGCGGCGTTCATGTCGGAAATCAAAAAAAGACTCCAGCGTGTCAGCGCTGAGGACGATCTGATGCCCCTCCGTTATTCTTCCTCCTCTCCACTGTCACCCCGACAATAGGGGGCTTGCGGGTAGCTGACGCATACACACAAACAGGGGAGTGGGATGTTTCTTCCTGACATTATGCTCACTCTTTCTCTCTCTGTATTTTTGTTCAGGACTTTTTTTTCCCCCTTCTTTTTTCACGTCATTTTAATTTTTTGTTTTTTTTCGAAAGAAGATCAGCCTATTTGTTGATCTTTTTGTATTTTTGTTTCCACTGCTTTTTTTTCTGTATCCGGTTGGTTTTTGCCTCAATGCGTGTATCTGCTGCCGCAACTTCACTGCGGGGTGGCAACTTCTTTTTCCCATTTTTTCCTCGCGTTGTTTTTTTCTTTCTTTTATTGTTGCTTTTGTTTCTTTATCGCTTCTTTTACTATAGTTTGGTGGGAGCGCCACTGTAGAAGCGTGTGAGGGCTCTTCAGCGCCTTGTGTCGCTATTTGCCTGAGCGGCGGGGTGGGCAGGATGGGATTTTTAGCTTGGCTCCTGGACTGGCTTAGGGGCCTCTTCTGGCAGCAGGAGATGGAGGTGACGCTGGTCGGTCTTCAGGGAGCTGGCAAGACGACGTTTTTGGCGGCCATCACGGAGGGAAAGGAGTCGGTGCAGCTGCACGACGCGATTCCCACCATAGGCCTCAACACCCGCAAAGTCACTCGCGGCGGTGTCAGCATCAAGGCCTGGGACATCGGCGGCCAGCCGCGTTTTCGAGGCATGTGGGAGCGGTACTGCCGCGGCGTGCAGAGTATTGTGTTTGTCGTGGATGCAGCCGACCTTTCCTCCTTTGAGGAGGCGAGGCATAGTCTGCACGATTTACTGAGCCGGCCCTCTCTCGCCGGAATTCCACTGCTTATTATTGCCAACAAAAACGACTTGGAAGGTGCATGCTCGGCGGAAACCGTCATGTCAGAGTTGCAGCTCTCGAAGCTTGCAGTAGATCGTGAGACGGCGTGTTACAGCGTGAGTGCGAAGAATTACACGAACATTGACGTGACTCTCAAGTGGCTCATGCGGTATTCAAGAGCTTCGTCGTCAATGTAGTCCAAAAAAAGAAAAAGAAAAAAGAAAATAAAAAAAAAACAGCCGAAGACAAAAAGAGCAAAGGATAATTTTGAGCTTTGGAGAACCCTGCGCGAAGTTAACCGGCCCAAACTGGTTTCTCTCTCTTCTTCTCTCCTTGTATTTCGTTTGCTGCAAAGTTGTCTTGCAACTTTGCCTCGCCAGAGCGAACGGCACGCCAGATCTCGTGCCAGTTCGTACGCAGATGCACATCGGTTTTACTGTCCAGTGCCCCTCCCGTTGTCGAGCTGTGTCACTTTTCCCTCGTTTTTTTTTTGCTGTGCTTGCTAGAATGAAGGGCCTTGTTCGAAGTGGCAACTTCCTCCTCAGGCTAGGAAGGGCAATGAGGGGCTGCTGAAGTGCACGGCCTTCCTTTTTTCTTTTTCATTATATTTACTCGTTTACCCTCTGCGGTTTTCTGCGACCCCTGCTTAGTGCGTGTGATTGCGTGGCTGTGTGTCTCTGTGATCTTGTTTTTTTTTCGTTTTTTGCGCTTCCCCGGTGTGTTTTGCTCCGCTGTGAGTAAAGAACGCGAAGTCGTGGAAAGAGAGCAACTGGGGCTGAGGCGTGAAAAGGCTGCACTCGCCAGGCTTGCCTGTGACACAGTTTCTCTAACTGCCTGTGTTCTTTTTTTCCCCCCCTTTCATTGTCCTTTGTGTGACTGTGGGTCTTGTGCGTGACTCTTTTTTGTTTCGTTTTTTTTTTTTCGCTGCCATTTCGGTTCGGGTGGTTTGTGTGCGTGGCTCACCCGAGGTCGGCGGTCTCTCCCCTTGCTGCCGTTCTCTACAGGAGCTGGACCGATTGAAGCCTCGCTGTCGTCGTCGCCGTGCGTGTTTTACGCGGTCTCTCTCTGTGTGCAGAAGCGCGCGTGGAGGCGGTGACTCTTTTGATTGGGATGGCGCAGGCGAGGGAGTGCAACGTGGCGGACTTCGTGTCAGTGTTGCCGGTGCCGCCGCAGACGGAGAGGCGCCGCGGCGTGCTTCGTTTTATGGGGCCCACAAACTTCGCCCCCGGTTTGTGGGCGGGTATCGAGTTGCTCGGCACCGTCGGACGTAACGATGGCAGCGTGATGGGGAAGTCATACTTTTCGTGTCCGGCAGGGCAGGGGGTGTTTGTTCGCCCTGAGCTTGTCGTGCCTTACGCGCCGGAGGCGGAGGGGCATGCCGGCACGCCGCACAAAGGCGGTGGAAGGACAGCGATCGTGGAGAAACTGCGCACAGATATGGTGCAGCTGCGGGAAACGTTGCAGCAAAGGGAATTGGCGCTGCGGGATGCGAAGGAGGAACTTCGCAGCGCCATTGCGCTGCATGAGGCGAGAAACTTGGAGCTGCAGAGAGCACTGGAGGAAAAGGCGCAGATGTTGGCGACGGCGTTGGCAGGCAAACAAAATATTGCGGCGGCGACGCAGACGGAGGCGGCGGCGGCGGCGGCGGCGAAGGATGATGAAATTCGCTGTCTGCAGCAGCAGTGTGCCGACCTGAGGGATCTCTGTGAGCTTCAGGAGGAGGAGATCAACCGGCAGAGGGAGCACGCCGACAACCTCGCACAAATCGTGGAGGACGTGCGCCGCGAGCAGGAGGAGGAGCGGGCGCGGATGGAGACGAGAATTCGTTCCCTAGAAGAGGCGGTCGCACAACAGCAACAACTGGCCGCCTCCGAACTCAGGCCAGCCGCGGAAGAGTCCGGGGAGGCAGATGTGGAAGCCACGCAACTGCAGCTTTTTGAGCGACAGCAGGAGGAGGAGGCGCTGCGACTTCTCAAGGAGCGATACGAGCAGCTTTACGCCGAGCGGGAACAGGAGCGCCACGCGCAGGAGGTAAAGTGGAAGCAGACAACGGCTGAGTACGAGGAGGCACTCACACAGCAACGAGAGTACAAGAGTCGGCTTCTTGGCGAAATTCGACGCCTGCAGCATGAGATTGCGGATATGCGTCATAGCAGTGAGCGGGAGCGGGTGTTGCAGGTGCCGCTCAGTGCACTGGAGCGGGAGGAATACGAGTCCCAGCTAAATAGGCTGCGGTGGGAACTCATGGGGGCCTACGGGGAAATGTTTTCTAAGCGCTATGATCACTTTTTGGCACCCGTTTCTAATTGGAAGTCGCCGGCGGAAGTGATGGGGGCGCTGCGCGAGGCGATCCTCTCCTCGGGAGGAGTTTTGCCGTTTACGACGCCGGACACGTGTCTGCACTCCCGCATGGCCCTCTTCCAGATGCACCCACGGCGCTGACGGCGGCGGCCACGCTGCTGCGACTCCGCAAGAGGCGCCGTTGTACGGTACGGGTGAGTGGCGGCGGGCGCAACCTTGCCAGCGAAGTAAAAAGACCAAGACAAACCAAGTGAAACGAACAAGTCGAGGTATTAGTGGCGCCGGCGTTGTTGTTGTTTTTGTTGTTTTGCTGCAAAGGAGAAGATACTTGAAGTGCACTTATTGTGTCATTCCCACGCTGGAGGAAGCGCCTCTGTTATTGAGGCTTTGTGTTCCCTTTTTGCTTCCCTGTTGCGAGGTAGCGGGTGAAAAAGGCCCACCGTCCCCTTCCTTCGGCAGGGTGCTGTGGTCGTGTGGCGGTGTCCCGCGATACAACTTTGCCTGCGAGAAGAAGACGCGAGAAACACGTGTGCGTGGGGTGTAGCCAAAAAAAGAAAGAAAAAACAAATACGTAACAAACAAAAGATTTGCGGAAAGCAGTACACTAGGAAATGAGCAAGAAGAAATGCCGCAAAGGGCGCAAGAAGCGTTCGTGTTCGACCAGCGATGTGTATGAGTGTGCCATGCGAAACTTCCGCCAGCTCCTCCTGGAGCGCATGTCACACCACGAGGATGAGGTGTTCTCCGCACGGGCACGTTTTCAGATGCAGCGCACGCATGACAAGGAGCACTTTGACCGCCTCCAGCATAAACGGAAGCACAGTGAGAGGGTGCGTGGGACGGCGGGGCGGCGCTCTGTGCGTGGCGCCGCTGCTGCTGCAGAAGATATAGAGGAGCCGTCCGCGGCAGAGCAGGAGTTTCTCGCGGACCAGCAAAAGCTCTATGTGGAGCATGAAGAAGAGTTGCAGCGGTCCTACCCACTCGCCTTCTTGGACGATGAAAGTGCCGGGGCTGTAACCTTCACGCTCATGCCGACGCTGCGCGGCAAATTCGAGGCGCTGGCGCGTGAACGTACCCGACTTTACAAGGAGTGTCCGGAGAGTATGGAGCCAAAGCGGCTGTCGTCCGTACCTAATTTGGCTGTGCAGCCGCAGCACGGGGGTGTCACGGAGTATGCTGCGGATAAGTCGCAGCCGGTCCTTGTGAAGGAGGAATATGACGTGGGCGCGAGTGCCACATTAGAGGTGGGCAGGGGGGCGTACATCATTCCGCAAACGGCCAATAAGCAAGCTTACAAAGTTGGAGGGGCGGAAGAGAACAGGGAGGCGTCGCCGCCGCAGGAAGAAAATTCAGAGGATGGTAGTGAGTCTTGTGGTTCGCTGGATGCTGATCGCGGGGTGGTGAAGCCGCCTTGGCTTTCAACGATCACCTCCGGCGGGGAGGTGGAGTTTGTCCGTATGGCTTTGCTGTCCCAAGAACAGAGCCGTCAGGCAAGGTGCGAGGAAAAACAACGGTGGCTTGAAGGCCTGTTAACCCCGTCAACGCCACGCGACATGCAGCGACGAGCAAAAGAGGAACTCCGGCGCCTTGAAAAGGAGAGAAAAAAAGATGCAGTAAGAGCGGCGGAGCTTTGGTGTTTGTGGCGCGCTGCCAGGGATAAAGTCAACTCCAGCAGTGGTATGGTTAACAGCACGGGTAACAGGGAAGCTGTTGTCGCGGGCGGCAACCAAGACGATTCTGAAGGTATAAAACGGCAGTCAGCACGGGCATTACCTGCTGAAGAAGTGGAAGGTGGTGAGGGTGTGGATGACGGAGGCCAGGGCGAATACTACACGCCTACGGGTTTTAGCTCAGAAAGGTGGCTGAAGCGTATGCAATTTGCTCGTAAACTTGAGGATCAGGATAACACTAATAGCGGCAAGGCCGTGACATCTGCAGGGGACCATTCTGTTTCAACCAGTCCGAGCGCATCTTCTTCCTTCTGTATGTCTTGGGAGACGATTGTTCTTGAAGATGTAGCAACCACCAACGGTAGTGATGACAGTATCAGTAACCGTTTGGAGGTGAAGGCGCAATCATACTTGTGGCCGCAGCACATTGAAGCCAGCATTCCACATGTGTTGTGTGGGGAGGCTGTGCGAGGCACAGGTTGGTGGCGTTCGTTTGTACCCGACGTCCAGGGAACCGTTACACGAGGAGGAGAGAATGCAGAGGCAGAGGACGGTGCGTGCGACGATGATGAGACGTCTGGACGCCGTACGGAAGGCGAAACAAATATGCCGAGTGTTGTCAAGTTTCCGCGGTGGGCGCGGAAGGTGTGGTTGAAGTTAGACTCACTGGGGGACTTTGTCGCAGAGAGGGTGAGATTTTACCAGGGTCGACTACACACATGACGTGCACGCCGCTTGCTGTAAGGTGCTTGAGTGTGATATATATATATATATATCCTATTAGTTACCGCGTTCTTTGCTTGTTTTTATTTATTTATTTTATCTTTTTTGGCTTTTCGATTGCCTATTTTGCCCTTTGTCTGCGTCTGCATCCTCCTTGACTCCAACCTGCCACGTTCAATCTAATCTTGCCGAAATAGGCGTCTCCGCTATTTTTAAAGGGCGTTCCACCGGACAGCCCAGGCACAGGGAACGGGCGATAAACATATATTTATCTAGTCCACGCCAGGGAACGAAAAATAGAGAGAGCGAGGTAGAGAACGACGCGATAGCATGGCAGGCACCGTCGCTGTGGTGAAGGAATCCGCCATGTCGCAGGAACTTCAGCAGGACTGCATAGATTGCGCCGCGCATGCGTTGCACGAGTTAGGCCTGCGTGAGCAAACTGCCATTGCCCAGTTTATTAAACGCGAGCTGGACAGCAAATACGGCACCCGCTTTCACTGTATTGTTGGCCGCTCGTTTGGCTCCTACGTTGGACACGATGGCCAGTACTTTATCTACTTTCTTATCGGCGACTGTGCCTTCTTAATATGGCGCACTGTTGACACGTTCGAGGAGCGTGTATTTTACGTTCCCGTGGATGATCTGGCCATCGGACGGCTGCCTTAAGATACAGTTGAGATGTAAACAAGGAAGAAAACGTTCCCGCAGCAGTATTGTCCTACCCCTTTCTTTTCTGGGGGGGGGGGAAAGAAGAAGCGTATGTGGAGCAAACCGGAGTGGACGAACGAGGGGGGACAAAAAAGTACAACGCAACAAACCGCCCAAGACACAAGCAAAGCGAGAGTGATAAAGTGGAAGGAAAGAGAGGGACAACTATTGGTGGTGTTTGCTTTGCAAACCAACACTTGCCTCGGGCTTCTAGTGTGGATTTTGCCAAGTGTCTCTTTTTATTTTACTTGTTCTTGTATCTCTGTGTTTGCTCTTGTCACAATGGTCACTCGGTAGCGTTTCCTCAACTTGCTTCTTTAGATAACTTTATATTCCCAGTTATTTCGTTTCGGTTGAAACAGCAGCGGCCTCAAAGCGGAGGGAGATGCAGCTACGCCCGACGAAGACAATAAAGTCTCTTCCCAAAGTGACCGTATGCTTCATGGCAGCACTGATGCTGTTGTCATTGAGCAGCGCGCCGACGGTCAGTGGGGAAACGCTGTCGCCTGAGGATCGCATTAATAACTATCGAAAGCGCGTTGGTCGTGCCTTTATCAAAGAAAAGTCTGCTCAGCCCGATGCCGTCACACTTCCCTCCGGTTTGGTTTTTCAGCGCATTGCTCGTGGCTCTGGGAAGCGTGCCGCCGCTGTGGATGATGAGTGCGAGGTGCACTACACTGGGAAACTTCGTGATGGCAGTGTTTTTGACAGCTCGCGGGAACGTGGAGAGCCCGTTAGTTTTCGTCCACGTGGGGTTATTAAGGGCTGGACGGAGGCACTGCAGTTGATGCGCGAGGGTGACCGCTGGCGCATTTTTATCCCCCACGAATTGGGGTACGGCGCGGCAGGGGCGGGACCAAAGATTCCCCCATTTTCGCCTCTTGAGTTTGACGTGGAGCTGATTCGCATCAAGGGCGGCGGCACAGGGCGTACAGCCGAGGAGGTAGACAAGATACTGCGGGAGGCCGAGGAAGAGCGGGGAGACATGTAATTGCTCGCAATACGTGTGCTGGGGGGGGGGGGAATATTTGTTTATTTGTGCGCCTCGGCATGGAGGCACACATGTGTCTGTGTGTCTCTGTGCGATGGAATAAATAGAACAGTGAAAAAAAAAAACTAAATGCATTTTGTTTTGCCCCTTTTTAAGGATTTTTTTTTGTCCAGCGACTTGCTGAAAGGCCTGCTAACTGTTCGGCGCGGCAGAGAGGTTGGAGCTGGCGGCGGGGGGATGGGTGCAAGCCGCCGAAGAGGAACAAAAGTCACTCTTCCCTATTATTTTGTAACCACCTGACCAGTTGCTTGGGCGATGAACTT